CCATATAAATAGTTACCTAAAAGCAATATGTGCAAAAGTTTTTGTAAAGAAAATGCCGGACTACTATAAATAGCTCTTATCCAAAGGTCTTGTATTCTTCTTGTGAATTGATTCATATTAATTTAATTTGATTTTGTTCACCTCTTGATGCCAACAATATACTTTCTTGAGATTTTTTTTTACCAATTTTCATATTTGGTTCTTGTCAACTGCGGAAATTTCATCCTCTATTGCATTTCTCCACTCCGGATCTTTGAAATCTCTTCAAAACTTTTAAGTTCAAGAATACAAAAATTGCAAATATTATAAACATACATTAGTTGTCGAAACTTCTATAGGAACAAATCCAAATTGCTTGAATTTGAACCTGGTAATGATCACCCAAGTTTGATTTCAAACAACTTTTTTTGAACACTGGTTAAGCAAATAAACTGATGTATACATAACATCAGCCCCAAATTCATTTCCTTTGGTGAACCATTATCGTGAATGATCATCTATTTTTTTTTTTTTTCATGATCACCCATCAATATTTTATTCAATTGGATGCCCGGGTTCAAACTCAATTTTAGATGTTTTCATAGGACAACAACGACGCACACACATACAATTTTTTGGGACTATTCAAATTCGAACCTGGATCATAAGGATTCCACCACTTGGGTATAGCTAAGTTGGCTCCACGTACCTTCCTTAGAAAATGATAGATAGTGCTGCTTTCTAAGTATACAACCTTTATATATACTTTTTTTTTTCCTCTTAAGTTTGGATAAATCATACACCTTCTTCTTTGTTGTAACACCTTAAGAATATGTAAATTTTGGATGCTAAGACTCGACAATGCATTTTTATTGGCTATGTGATGATGAATTTTGCTATAGGTGTTACGATCCTATTGAGAAAAGGCTTGTCAGAAGCCGTGATGTTGTATTCATAGAGGATTAAACGATTGAGGACAATGAGACGGACCATAAGCCAAATGTTCAAAATAAATACTTGATTTATTTGGATCGAGTTCTTACACCAAAATTGGGTGGTGATGAACATCAGTCTTTCAGCGTTGATGCCATTGATGATGTTGATGTTAGTCTGGATTATTCTGAGAATTCGATGGATATGTCAGAATCTTCATTGAGAAGGTCTACCAGAGATAGACAACCCTCCACTAGGTATTCATCTACGGAGTATGTGCTATTGACCGAGAATTGAGAGCCTGAGGATTATGAAAAAACTATTCAGAGTCCTGAAAAAGGAAAGTGGATTGTTTCTATGAAAGATGAAATGCAATCCCTACATGCTAATGGCACATATGAGTTGGTTGAGCTTTCAAGTGATAGAAGGGCCTTGAAAAATAGGTGGATCTATAAGGTGAAGCATGAATAACACTTATCCTCTCATCGATATAAATCCAGGCTTGTTCTGAAAGGCTTTAGTAAAAAACATAGTGTTGATTTTGAGGAGATTTTTTCACCGGTTGTCAAGATAACTTCTATTCGTGTTATTTTGGGTTTGGCTGCTTGTCTTGACTTAGAAGTGGAGCAAATGGATGTCAACACGGAGTTTCTTCACGGTGACCTCGAAGAAGAAATTTATATGGAGCAGCCTAGAGGTTTTGTGGTGAAAGAGAAGGAGAACCATGTATGTCGATTGAAAAAAAAAAAAAAAAAACTTGTATGGGCTTAAACAGACTCCGAGACAGTGGTACAAGAAATTCAAATCTGTTATGATTCAACAAGGGTACAAGAAGATTGATGCCGCCCTTGTGTTTTCGTGCAGTGGTCTTAGGTACTGATGTTATCATCTTACTTCTTTATGTAAATGATATGCTCATAGTAGGCTCTTCAGCCTCGAAAATAAATAATTTGAAGAAAGAGTTGAGCAAATATTTTGCGATGAAGGATTTGGGGCCAGCTAGAAATATTCTTGGGATGTATATTTCTCGGAACAGGGAAGAGACAAAGTTATGGTTATCCCAAGAAAAATATATCGAAAAAATGTTGCAGCGGTTCAACATGGACAAGACCAAAGCTACTTCTACCCCGCTTGATGTTTCGTTTAAATTAAGTGTGAAGAAGCAGTGTCCTTCTACTAAGAAAAGAGAGGAAGATATGCAGCGGATTCCTTATGCCTCAGTAGTTGGAAGTTTGATGAACGCCATGGTGTGTACTCGGCCGGGCATAGTTCATGCAGTTGATGTTATCAGCCGATTCATGTCGAATCCTGGCAAAGAGCATTGGAGTGCAGTGAAGTGGATTATGAAATATCTTTGGGGAACTTCGAGTGTGAGGTTGTGCTTTGGTACTGATAAGCCGGAGCTTGATGGTTATACAGATTCTGTTATGGCCAGAGATATTGATAATAGGAAGTCTACTTCTGGACACTTGATAACTAATGCAGGGGGAGCTATTTCATGGCAGTCCCGATTGCAGAAATGTGTTGCACTCTCTTCCACCGAGGCGGAGTTTATTGCTTCTACCGAAGCTTGGAATGAATTATTATGGTTGAAGACTTTTGTGAGTGAAATCGGTTTCGCTCAACAAAAGTATATTTTGTATTGCGAAAATCAATGTGCGATCCATCTTAGCAAGAATCCGACATTTCATGGAAGATCGAAACATATTGATACAAGGTATCATTGGATTCGAGAGGTTTTGGATTCTAAGTTGATTGAAGTTGATAAAATCCACACGAATGAAAATGGTGCGGATATGTGCACTAAAAGTCTTCCAAAAGACAAGTTCGAGTTTTGCAGGATGGCTGCAGGGTTGGTCGCCTCCTCCACATAGTCGGAAGGGAGAGAATTGTTGGGTTTGGGTTCCTTCTATGTGTAGCCTCCCAATAATTCAAGTTAGCCCAAAAAGAGTTAAAGTCTTTTTGCAAATTGTTGCTCTAGCCCTCATTGTTGGGAGTGAGGTCATTTGGGTGTAGGGTTTTGAGAGAGACAATCGCTATCAACGTACGCGAGAGAATCGACAAGCAAGAGAGAATTTCTTCAACTCGGTTCCGATCAACGGTCTTGTCATCTTCGGATGTTGCTTTTGATATCGTTGATTTCTCACTATTTGTTTGAATTTGATTTTGAGTCTTATTGGTTGAGAATTGGAATAGGTTGTTAATAGTTGGGAGATCTCTTGTGATTGGGGTTCGATTCTTGTAATTGGGTATGGAGTTTTATAGCCCTTTTGGTTATGGTTATCTTTGATTGTACAAACCTTTTGATACAGTGAATTTTGCCTTGGGTCGGGTGATAGACCTCATGAATTTTATCCTTCACTTTGAAGTTGTTTTCTACGTTAAAAGTTTTGATGTCTCCTATTATTATTTTCGTTGTTTATTGGTGGTTATCATTTATCGTGCTTTGGTACAAAGGAGAATTGATTGAAGGGAAATGTTTTGGTGGAACAGTTTGAACACCCTTCATAGGCGTGACCACGCTTAAGGAGTACATCGAATCTGATTTTGGTTTGCATTTTTGTCTTCTTCCGGTATTCTCCCATCAACTTCGACATTTTCGGCAGCGGCAGCTCCGGCAAAGGAATGGCGGCAAACTTCGATTCCGGCAGCATTGGCAGGTCCAACGGAGGATTGGCGGCGGGCTTAGATGGTTATTCCAGCAGTAGCTCACCTGCAATAGCTCCGGCGGCGGTGTACAAGTGAAAGCTCGATCGGTTCCCGTAGCAGCTTCTTGAGCTGAAGAAGAACCGGAATGAGGAGAAGAAAAAGTAAGAAAATGAGGAGAACAAGAAAATAAGTAAAGAAGAAACATACCTGGTGGGAGGGCGATTTGAATTATTTTGTAGTCTTAAAATTTCTAAAGCTTTATCAATATAAATAATATATATAAAGCTTCCAAAATTCCAAAGCCATTTTCTTAATTAAAAAATATATATATAATAAGGCTTTGTAGTTTTTGAAACTATTTTATTAATTAAATATAAATAATATATAATAAAGCTTCGGAAATTTTGAAATAATTTTTTTAATTAAAAAAATAATATATAAGTAAAGTTTTAGAAATCCCAAGACCAATTAATAGACTCGGAAATTTTAGAGCTTTTTTAATTAAAAAAAATAATATATATAATAATATTTCGGAAATTTCGAAATCACTTAAAATGGATTCGGAAAATCCGAACCTTATAGTAATAGTTACGAAATAGCTTCGGACATTACGGTGTCTTTTAAATTAAATAATCTTATATAAAAAATAGTCTCGAAATTTTCGAAATAATTAGAATAAAATACTATTTATATTTTTTTTAGTAGCATCGAAATTAATCGGGAAGCTTTTTTCGAGTCCCATTTCCAAAATTCTGGTAGTGTGTCTTCAATTGCTAAATGATAAGATCTTCAATTTTTTATACTCTGTGTATCCTTTGTCGGCATAATAAATCCCAGAGGTTATGCAGCCTAAAAATAGTTATCATCTTTATGTATCAATAGTCATAGAGGTTCTAGCAAAATATTGAAATCGAAGAACTATCACTAGCCATAATAGAATTGTAGAGAAGTGGCTCTAGCCAATACCACCACTTATTCGATTTCTGGAAAAGAATTGAATGAATGTTTAAGGAGGAAATACGTATATATTTTGTTATTATGTCATCATCTTGTTCGTAACACATGGGTTACATATATAGTCACTCATCATCTGCTAACAATGTCATAAAATATAATCTTTTCAACTCCTTGACATCAAAATTCCCAATTCAATATGAAACTTTGATTATATGTTAACATCAATTCGCCACATATATACAAATATATATATATCGACATTTTCTTTGGGATAGGAAATTCATACATTTAGAGTGGCATCTCTGTCGAACTTTGGTTATCCAAACCCTAACAAAGCCCCACCTAAATATAAAGAAATGGCAAAGATAATGTTTTCACAATTGTTATTTAGTCTCTCATCATCATCGTCATCATTACCAAAACAAATTAATTAACAAAGACAGGGTTTTTAATCTTCTTCTTCTTCTTCTACTACATATGTCATGTCAATCTGCAAACAATCAACTGATGACGACAACGACGACGAATTCTCCAAGCATCAATGGGTCCGAGAGCTTCACTTTCCCCTCCTCGACTTCCCTCTTACCATCGACAGAATCGGCCCCGTCGTCTCCGACAATGCCCGCCGCCGCCGCCACACTCTCTACCTCTCCAATCTCGACGACATGGTCGGCGTCCGCGTCTTCACACCCACCGTCTATTTCTACCACTCCAAATCGAGAGACGAACACGTCGCCGGAGTTATAGAAGAAGCTCTGAGAAAGGTTCTGATACCTTACTATCCCTTCACCGGCAGGCTGAGAGAGACCGGAAATGGCAAGCTGGAGGTCTTCTTCGGCCCTGACCAGGGCGCTCTAATGGTGGAGGCCCACTCCGACGTCGCCCTGGCGGATCTCGGCGACCTATCGATGCCGAACCCCGCCTGGATCAAGCTGATTTACAGATTCCCCGACGAGGAGGAGTACAAAGTCATCGACATGCCGCTGGTGATCGCTCAGGTCACCAAATTCGCCTGCGGCGGATTCAGCCTCGGCCTGAGGATGTGCCACTGCCTCTGCGACGGCTTCGGGGCGATGCAGCTGCTCAGCGCCTGGGCGGCGACGGCGAGGGCCGGGATTCTGGTGGCGAATCCGCCGCCGTGCTGGGAAAGGGATATCTTCCTGCCACGTGTCCCGCCGAGGATTGAATTCAGGCACTCGGAGTTCCGGCGGGTGGAGGAGGGGTCGACGCTGACGAGGAATCTATGGCAGGGGAGCCCCGTGATGAAGTGCTACCGGCTGAGCCGCGACTACCAGGCCCGTCTGAAGAGGCGGGCTCAGGCGGCGGCGGCGGAAGGCGGCGCGTCGTTCACGACGTTCGACGCCGTGGCGGCGCACGTCTGGAGATCGTGGGTGAAGGCGCTGTGCGTGGAGCCGCCGGAGTACGAGCTCCGGCTCACGTTCTCAGTGAACGCCCGGCCGAAGCTGAAGGAGCCACCGATTCCGGCGGGGTTCTACGGCAACGTGCTGTGCGTGGCGTGCGCCACCAGCAGCGTCGAGAGGCTGGTGAACGGGGGGCTGTCGGAGACGGCGAGATTGGTGCAGGACGCGCGGCTGGGGGTGTCGGAGGAGTATCTGAGGTCGACGGTGGACTACATGGAGGTGGATCGGCCGAAGAGGCTCGAGTTTGGCGGGAAGCTGACGATAACTCAGTGGACGAGGTTTTCGATTTATGAGTCGGCGGATTTCGGGTGGGGGAAGCCGGCGTACGCGGGGCCCATCGACCTGACGCCGACGCCTCAGGTGTGCGTGTTCCTGCCGGAGGGCGGCGGCGGGGACGGCGAGGGCAGCGGGGCTACGGTGGTTTGCATATGCTTGCCGGAGTGGGCGTGCTTCAAGTTTAGAGAGTTGCTCATGGATCATTGGTAGCTTGCTTGCTTATATGCCTATATCATTATTATTATATATATATATTTATTTATTTATATGAATGGATTTAATTTGTGTATATTCAGCGTTTAAATTATCAAATTTGTTGGAGGAATGGAACTTTGTAAATCTTGCAAATTGTTAATGCAGAAAAATAACAGCACAAGCATCTATTGTGTTCTTACGTAAATTTTATCACATATTTTTACTATATATTTAGAAGTAAAATAATTTTTCTTTTATATTATTCTACGAATTTATTCAAAACATCAATCAATGTATATTTATATTATATCAAACAACTATTAAAATTCGACTTTTTATTATTTAAAAATTCAAAGCAATAAAATCTAAACCAACATCATGGGTTCGAACTCCGATGTTTTCGGATCTTGTATATCACACATGGTTCATCTTGCATAATTTGTCTTGTTTAAACTAGTTTACATGCTATTAAATTTGACTCGGAATTTACCAAAAGAAACGTAATTTGCTAATTGCAAGAGGAAAGGTTGAGTACCGAAGAGAATGAATAGTTGATATTAAACATGATTTATTGTTATGGTTTGAAAAAAAATCATAAAAGATTTTGATAATGGATTAGGACATGGGAATGTGAGGAATGTTATAAAAGATTTTGTTTGTGTTTATTTTGTGATTTTGTTTTATGTTTTACTATTCTAATTTTTTTTTTCTAAAAAATATTATATCAAATACCTATTTTTTATTTATTATATTACATTAAAATTAAATTTTACATTTAAAACATCACATCAATACATATTTATATTACATCAAACAACTATTTCAATTCAAAATTTTACTATTCAAAACTCAAATTTCACAAGTAAACACACCCGAATTGCCTTCCCTTTGCTCGTTGTCACCAACATTGTCTCGTCCTTGCAATGGTACTCCGGCGCCGGCAATGAGGTATCGATTTTGAACAAACTCCCAAATCTGAATTGATATGGGTGTTCCCAAAACGTGATTCGTTCTTTGTGGGTTTGGGTTTGTGTGTGAAGAATGATTCGTGAATCGCTTCACTACGGTTTCGGTGATTTGGTATTTTTGTGTTGAAAAACTAACTCTACATTTTATTTTTTATTACTAGCTAGGAAATCGTGTTTCAAACAAGATACTTGTTAATTTATTTCATCAGTTTTTTGATCTCCTCAGTCTCGTGGATTCACATCAACACCCCCAAGCCAATGGAGTTTCCTCCCTACGATTTTTTTTTTTTTTTTTTTTTTTTGTTTCATATCATTTATTTTAATTTTTTATTTGTCTTTTTCGTATGATTATTTTTTAGAAATATAATTATACGTTTTAAATATATTTTAAATTCTATAATTTATAGTTTTTAAATTTTAATTAAAAAATAATTATTTTTATTGATATATTTTTTAGTTACTTACCAATTATTTTTTACCTAAATTTTTATATCTACAATAATACATTCAAATTATATGGCACAATAGGCAGTATATTTATAATAATAAAGTATATCTAAATGTTATATCCTTGTTTACCCAGCATTTTTGGATGAATTGATTGTTCATAAAGAATTATGTTGAAAATATAAAATATATTATTTTAAATTGAATATTCAATTTTTTTATGAGTATTTAAAATTTTTTTTTTGACTTTGTAATTTTTTATAAAGTATTTTATACTTCCTCTCCGCCTTTAAAAGTCGCGTCATTGTACTTAATATTAAAAATATTCTTATATTTGTATAATTTTTTATACAAATATCTTTTTATTAATATTATAAGACACGAATCAAAGTATTTTTGTAATTTTTTCTTAATTTATAATTAATATTTGAATATTAACACGCAAAAAGTAAATAAAAACGTCCGTTTTTAATACTATTATTTTTTTAAATTGTAATCCACACAAATTGGGTTGGATGAACAAAGTCTATTATACTTAATAACTATTTTGCCATTTTTTAAAATCAATTTCTTATATAGACTTTTGTAATAAAGTGTGTGTTTGTTTTGCCTTAAAAACAAAAAATAAACAAACATATTTTTCTAAAGAAATTAATATATCAAACACATTAATTAATTTATATTATCTATATAATTTTTTATACCTTATATTAAAAATATTTTTTAAAAATATTTCACAAAACAAACGCACATTCTATTTTATATTAAAATTATTCATGTTCAAACACAATGATATAATTATCCAATATTTTTCTAATTAATTTTTATAATATATATTACTCTCTCAATTCCACTTGATTTGTCCATTTTTTCTATTTTTGTCAGTACCCTGTAATTTGTCACTTGATTTTCTTGAAATACAATTATATATTTTAATCATATTGCAAAATTTATAATTTATAATTTTTTTATTTTAATTAAACCATTTAGTAATTTATAATTTATAATTTATAATTATTTTTATTAAATCATAATTATTTTTACTAATATATTTTTTAGTTACTTACTATTATACAATACTTAAAACTCTGTATCTAAGTTAAAAGAGACAAATTAGTTGAAACGAATGAAGTAATATTTTTACATCAAACATTAATTAAAATTTTATTAAATATTATATTGATCTCAATTTTTACTAGTTTCATCGTACTTGTAGATTTCATGTTGTAACTCGTATAGTATAAAATTATTCTCTGCAAATTCAACGAGAATAATAATTTCACTGATGTTTATTTTGATGGATTTTGAAAAAAAATTAGCTTTGTTTATACAACACACTTGATACTATTCATTTCTCAAAAAATATTACATCAGATATATATATATATATATTTTTACAAAATATCAAATCAAATATTAACTTTTAATATTTTTCAAACTTTCAATATTTCAAAAATCTTAAAAAAAAACCATGTCTAAACAAAGCCAAATAAATTTGATATTTAAATAATGTATCATTGAATATTTTGTGTGAGAAAAAAAAAATATATATATATATATATATATACACACGTGTTTTCAAATAAATCCCATAGTTCAAAATAGTAAAATAGTAATAATATAAGAGTGGTGTTAAAAGAAACAAACCAAGAAGATTAGGGTAATATTTAAATCTACCAGTTATCTAATCGAGCAGAGCAATAAATCCTATATATATATATATATATATATTGTAAGGCAGGGTTTGTATTTTAATTTGTATTGGAGGCAAGAAATTAAAGAATCAAGAAGATTAGCGGTTGTGGATGCGTTGCGTTTCTTTCCAGTTTGCAACTCCAAAATTAAACCATGCTCATAATAAGAATGTGGGCATCTCTGCCGGCGGTGGTCGCCGCCGCCGTCATTGCTACCGGTCACATCGGCGCCGCCGTGGCGATCACATCAATGTATGTCCTGGGAGACTCCTCCGTCGACTGCGGAGACAACACTCCCTTCTATGGCCTCCTCCATGGCTCCCTCTCCCTCTTCCCCTGCAATGGCTCCGACTCCACTCTCCTCCCCCACCTCCTCGGTAATTATTACTCTCTCTCTCTATACATATACACACACATATATATATATCGATTATTGGGAGCTCTTCAATTTCTTGAATTATTGGTGCAGCAAAGAAGATGGGGCTCCCGAAAACGACGCCGTTCTACACGCAGAACGGGACGTTCTCGGCCATTCTCAACGGCGTAAACTTCGGGTCGGCGTCGGCGACGATCCTCCACGGCAGCAGCCAGACGTACCAAACGCTGAATCAACAGCTCCGGCAGGCGTTCGAGACGATTCAGCTCGTGCGCCTCCATCTCGGCGAGGCTGCGTCGCGCCAATTCGTCGAATCCGCTGTCTTCTACCTCTCCTTCGGTAAAGACGACTTCATCGACTACTTGCTCGGCAATTGGTCCGTCTCTGGCTACCGATACTCCGGCCGAGAATTCACCCACATTTTAGTCCGCCAGATGACCAACGCCGTTCGAAACCTTTACGATTCCAACGTCCGCAAGTTCATCTGCGCCGGCGTCGTGCCTCTCGGATGCTCCCCGCAATTGCTGCTTCAGTTCGACAGGCTCAGCGCCAACTGCGTCGATGACGTTAACATTCTCGTCGAGGACTACAACGCCAGGCTCGAGGAAAGCCTCGCCGCGCTTGGCGAGGAGCTCCGTGACACCGTCATCATCTTCTGCGACGTCTACGCCGCCATGATGGAGCTCATCACCAATCCTCTCGCCTACGGTATGATCGTCGATCGATCGATCAATCAATCAATTCCGCTGTTTTCGATAGAAATTGATTCGTAATTATACGTCGTCGGATGCAGGAATCGAGGACGTGGCGAATGCGTGCTGTGGAGAAGGCGGATCGGGCGAAGCTGCCGGGTGTGTGTCGCCGGGAATGGCTTGTCTCGACGCGTCGACGCATGTCTGGTGGGACTTGTACAATCCGACGCCTGCTGTTAACGCCATGGTGGCTAACTCGGCCTGGTCGGGACGACCCTTGTCGTCCGTCAGCCGGCCTATTACCGTGCGAGAATTGATCTCCCCTTAGATATCAGCATATATATATATAAGGTGTATTCGTTTGCAGGATTTTGCAAAAATTTTACTATTCATCAAATTTTTTTTTCTTAAAAAATCAAATCAAACACTTTATTTCATTTTTTTATATTATACTATAAATTAATTTTTTTTTATATCATACGATACAATTATTACAATAAACCTTGAAACAAAAACACCCTATTAGTGTAATAATGATAGAACAAGAAAGATGAATAGATAGATGATAAACAAGAGTGTTTTTCAGATTCTAAATTAATTATTGAATGGGGATAGATAATTAGAAAAAATGAATGAGATTTAGAAGAAATGATAATAAGGCTAAGGAGAAGATGATGAGGTAAGAGGGCAGAGTGGGTGGGGCTCTGTTCTTGGCTGCTGCTGATCCTGTTAAAGACATCATTAATTCATTTCTTGAGAATTTATTTTTTATATAATGTAAGAATCGAAATCAAACCCATATTTTTTTTTTATTTTTTTAAAAAAGTTTATATATAGGATGAATATTGAAATGGAAAGAAGAAGATACCATCTGCAGGGAATTCAGTTGGTGCAGGGGGAGATCCCATAGGCAAACCAATTCCTGCATCCCATTTTATTTATAAGTGACGTTACAACAATTAATAATAATAATAATAATAATTTTCGGCAGCGACAGCGGATGCAAATTTTCACGTCATTAAAAAATAATAATAATAATAATAATAATAATATACCTTGGGAAGGGGCTTCACTTGGTGCAGAATCTGCTACAGGAACACCAACATCTACATTTGCCATTAAAATTAAAAGTGTGTGTGGATATTTTTATTGTAATTATCTAAGTTCAACGACTAAGGGTATGCCAAGACAATTACAACTTTCGAATTTTGAAAATTTTGGTAACATTAAAAGTTAATATTTGATGTGGTTTCAATAATATATATATATATATTTATTTATTTAATTGATATTTTAAAAAAAAAAATGTTACCAGTATCTTTTCAAAAAACATCAAAACTATAAAATACAAAAATAAATAATAAATATTTTGGTTGTGTTTGTTTATTATTAAATTCGATCTAGTATTGTTTATCAAATTTTTTTCATTCAAAACTATATGATCAAACATTTATTTATTTTTATAATATATTACAAATATATATATTTAAATAAACTATCACGCCGAATATTTATTTGTATGACATCTTCAATCCAAACTTTTATTATTTACAAACCCAAAATCCAAATCAAATAAATATTCTACAATATATATATATATATATTTTCTGTCTCAAACTTCAGTATTTTTAAAATAAAAAATAATTATTTATAATTAATTTCTAATAAATATACATTATATTTTATTTTATCATATCACCTCAAAAAAAATATACTCTCCTTACCAAAAAATTAGTCTATTTTCTTTTAGGCACAAAGTTTAAGAAATATAGAATTTGATGGTTAATTAATTTGATTAATTTATTTAATCCTTATAATGTTTTGTTATTTTAATATTTTTTATTTAGTGAAATATTTTTTTTATTTTTTTATACTGAATATTCTATATTTTGAAATTAATTTCTTTTAAACAAAAGTTTATTGTATTAATAGTAAAACAATAATTAGGTAACAACAAATTAAATTAATTTTAATAATCTATATGTAATTAAACAATAAAAATTGATGTGATTATAAAAATTTTAATTGAAATAACATTTTACATAAAAAAAAAATTTCAAAGGTAAATACAAAAAATGAATCATAAATAAATATTATGTAAAAATTTTTGAGGTTAAATTTACCGGATTAAGAGACTAATATATTATTTTCTCTTATTAAATATTTACAAAACAATAAAATTAAATATTTTTACAATTCTCAATAATTAACAATAAAAATACAATAAATAAAGAAATAAATAAATACTATTTCTTTTCTTCTTTAGATAAAATAAATATAAATTCAAATCTCATTATTTATTAATTTTTTGAATCAAAATATTAAATTAAACACCCCAACACAAATTCTTTACTACGTTTTACAATTAATATTATTTAAAAATATAATATATACACGTTAATACAATATATAATCTACAAATTTACAAAAATTCAAGAATTTAACCAAAAACTAATTTGTATATTGCCGAATATGTTTCTTATAACTAATATGAAAAAATATCTCAAATTAAATATACAAACAAATACATTTTTATTTTTTGATATTATATTAAAAATTAATTTAATAATTAAAAATATCACATCATTATATAATTATATTATATTAAATAATTATTCTAATTTAAAATTTATTATTTAAAACTTCAAATTCAACTCTTAAATGTATAACAACACAAACTCTAAAGGAAAAAAATATTAATAATTCATTATAATATAGTTATGTTTGTGATTTAGGATCTGTTTCTTCAGTTCAGTTTGGGCGGGATCACTATGCAAACACTGTGCTTGAGTCTATCCTTTTTTCCTTTTTTTTTTCTTTTCTTTTTAAAATTATAAATATAAAAATAAGTATAATAATTATAATTTAATAAAATATATACAATATATATGTTATTTTGTAGAAAATAAAATTTTTTATAATATAAAATAATAAAAATTTAAAAATATATATAAATATAATATAAATTTATAATTAAATTATACAAATTATTGTACATTTATATTATTATATTCATACCTATCAAATCAATACACATCAAAACTCTTCAAATTCCAACCAAACTCAAATCCAAAAGAAATATCAAAATTCAAACTATTTCAAAATTCAAATAAAAACCAAATTTAAACCCAAATTTCCCCAAAACCTCCTAAAAAAACACACCCTTAAATTATTATTTATTATTTATTAATTTATTAGAAAATAAGATTAATTTGGTTGCACGGTAAAAAAAAAAAAACTAATTTGTGAAACAAAAAAAGTATATATTTTTATCTCTCGTAATATTACTAATTTATGAATTATCTTATTTAATATTCTACGTATTTAAATTTCGCCGAAAATCAAATATTATATCATATTTGAGAAGAAGAAAGTACTATAAAAACAACACACGGGTTTGCACTTAATAATTATATCAAAATTTTCAATTCAACTATATAAAATATGGCTGTAGAAAAGAATTTTGAAGTTTTTTTTGAAATTGTTTTTAAATAATAAAAAGTTCAAAGGTTGTTGATATATTTTTGTTAATAGTAATTGTATAAAAATATTATACTCCATTTGTCCATTGAAGGATTAGTGTTTACTTTTTGCACGTAAATTTTTTAATATTAGTATTATATTATATTGTAGTAAAACAAATAAAAATATCTCTATTAGTATTATGTAATATAAAAGTAATATTATTTGTATAATATATTGTAAGTTTGAATGATATTTATTATGTTAGGTAGGTAGTATAATTATTAAATTAGGAAATTATAATCTTGTTTTGAGATGAAAATAAAAAACTAGAACTTTTCAACTGAGACGGAGGGAGTATTAAATATATAATTTTTTATTATTTTTATAAATTTAAAATTCTAAAAATATGAAGTTTGTTTCTTTTGTGTTTTAGTTTGGAGAGAAATGTTTTTTTTTTTTTTTTTTATGTGATTTATAAAGAACTGCGCAACTAGTATAAACCTAATGAATGTATGTAAAATAGTATTAATTTTTCTAAAAAATTGGGTTGAAAATTTTAACAAAGCAAATATATTTTTTATATAAAGAAATATATAACCAAATTGAAATGCAATATATGCATGTTAAAGTAAAATTAGGAAATGGTTATAAGCCCATGTGATATTTTCTTCTGTAAAGCTAGAAAATATATTTATTTCTATTTTGAATGTGTAATTACAAAGTAATTATATCATTAAATACCCTATTTTTTTTCCACAAATATATTTACTTTTATATCGCATAATTATTTTTATATAAAAAAGTAAGAGCAATAATATTATTACATTATTTTTATATATTTATTATTATTAAAATACTATTATTTCTTAAGCGTGACAAAAACAAATATATACTTATACTTTTTGTTGATATTAGACTTAGTGCGTAGAAATAATTACAAAATTTAAAAATAAATCATTGCTGTCTCCGCAATGACCGTTACGCTGATAAATATAGGTGAGGGCACACAAAAACACAAATGATGCATGTGCTCATTAAGATATGATAGAAAAAATAGCATTAAATAATGCATCAAAATAGTATTTTGTCGACTTCTTTTCTTTGAGAAAATATATATATATATATATTGAAAATACGAATAAAAGAAAAAAATAAATACAAAATCAACACAACACTTACTAATAAGAGTCACTGTACGTACCCGCACAGAAGCTAACCGGAGGGGCGGAGACATTGCAGGCGGAAGGCATCTTAAGTGCCCTACTGATGTCCAGAGGGATCCCGGTCTGAGCCGGCCGGCTCAGCAGCTGGCAGAGGCAGACCGGCTGAGTGTTCACCAGCTGCCCTAGCTCCGGGCAGCAACCTTTCTCCGGCTGCGTCAGGTTACTGCCCTTCTCTACGAAGCTCAGGCAATCCGACATGTTGATTAGATACGGGAAACAGTCGATCCCCGGCGACGGCGCCGAAGCCACAGCTGGTTCCGCCGCCGATTGCCGCGGAATCGCCGCCAGGAATACCGCCGCGGCGGTCAGAAGGTACGCAATGGCCGTCAATTTGGGAATCGCCATGGCTGTCGATTGCAATTTAGGAATTTAGTTTCAGCACTCAGAACAGACAGAAATATATATATATGTGTGTATATAATGTGCTGCCCAATTATTATACTAGTATTTAATTATTATAGAGAAAATTAATAAATTGGAGGAGGAAAAAGTGGTGACAATTGCCAACTGCTATCAAATTGTGTTAAATTTTTGTTACATCTAAATTTGTGGCTATTTTGATCTTTCACATATCTTCACTCATCACTTATCCTACACATTATTGCAATGAATTTATGACCTACGCCTTGTTTTTTTCACTATTCTTTGAAATTTCATGTGGGCTTTTTTGTTTTCTTGATCATCTTGCTTTTAAGTTCGCCATTATTCTTCTTTTGGTTAGATGATCATTACTATCTTCATAAATCATAACCATGAAATCGAATCAGGACAATCCCAAGAAAATGAATGTTTATAAACCAAACTTTGAAAAAACCAACTTAAAACAACAACAACAAATCGAAGAACATCCGTCTTTCTTACCAACAACGAAACGACAAGACTCGATTCGACTTTGAGGAATTACGAATCAGAACTCGGCCACATGCATGCGATCAAAATAGCAGCCGGTAGGGCCTCCATCGGGGAGCAGGGCAAGCATCACCGAGCCTGCAGCTCCTTCTTCGACTGTCAGAACTCCGGTGTTCCAATTAATATCTGTTTTAACATATCCCGGGTGGACGCAATTTACAAGCATATTCAGGTACTTCTTGGCAAGAACTCTAGTGTAGGCGTTGAGGGTGGCCTTTGATATGCTGTAGGCCGGGAGCATCTTCTGCCATCCGTTGGCTTCGATTGCTTTGCACTTCACATCGTGCAGAAATTTTTGCACTATCCTGTCGATTTTCTCTTCGGTCAGAGTCTCTACGCTGCTGAGCTCTTCCCTTACCTGCTCGTTAGGGATGCGCTGCACAAGAACAAACAGGCTCTCAATTATAAACATCAAATCGCAATGCTGGAGAGCGCAGATTGGCGAATTGGAGAAAGATCACCGCACGTTTAGTTCACTTCTTAGGGAAGAGACATTCACAATCCGGGCTCCGGTGAGGGAGCGCTGCAGCAAAGGAAGAAGGGCCTCTGTTACATTCTTGACGCCGTAGTAGTTGGTGTCAAGGCACTCTTTTGCCGTCTTATAGGTAGTGATCATAACATCCTGAACCAAGTTTACGGCTTTGCCTGCTAGCTGCATCATGGCAATGTATTGAGAAATCGAGAATGAATTCGAATTCGATCCATTTTCAGGAGTTCAATAAAGATCTAGAGATTTTTACCCATTCTGCAGGATCAATGTTTAGAGCCCTCAGTGCATCTCCATCGACTTCAACCCCGGAGGCGCCAGCATTGTTTACCTGCAGGATTTCAGTAGTGATTCACAAACAATGCAGCCATGAACATAAAAGCTTAAGCTATGGCATGGTTAGATTCTATGATGAAATTTACCAAATCTACAGAATCTTGCTCCTGAGAAATGATTATATCAGCCAGAATGCCAGATCGATTGTGACCTAGTTTCTTAGCTTAATTATATGAACTCTAAAATATTTGATCAGTGCTTCAATGGATTCAATCCAATCCTGAAGAAGGGAATCACGCAAGGCAGCCATGAAAGAAAGCTTGCACGTATAGCATGGTTAGATTCTACCCTGAATTTACCAATTCAACGGTGATGTTATCAGTGGGATCCGTTGTGCCCTAATTTCTGTTCTAATTGAATGAAATCCTCGACAAGTGCATCGATGAATCCAATCGAATCCTGAAATCTATCAGTGTTTGATGTTCTCCTCGATTCCTAGATTCAGTTCATCCGATCATTACTACTTACCAAAATGTCGAGACGCTCGAACTCCTCCGATACGAACTTGGCCAGAGCTTCTATGCTCCCCGCATCGCGAACGTCTAGCTGATGGAAAAGCACATTCGATAGCCCCGATTGGTGCAGCGATTTTATGGCTTCCATCCCCCTCTGCTCATCTCTGGCAGTCAATACAACCGCCACGCCTGTTTTTGCAAGCTGCCGGACCGTCTCCAGCCCGATACCCTTGTTTGCTCCGGTAACCACCGCACACCTGGAAAAATCCAAACATTATCATCAGTATTACCTGCACCGCGCCTAGATTCAACTTATTCGATAGCTCACCTTGTTGGCGGCTGTTGTGAATTGATCGCCATAGTTATGATTCTGCGGAGATTGTTTCCCCTGGGACTGAAATCGACAACAGGAGATTCTCCCGGCTGCTTGGAAGAACGCCTGGCGATGGAGATGGATACGTGTAGAAGAAACCCCACAGAAGACATCCAATGGCTGAAAGGTAGTCCGGAAAGATCACAGGTCAATCTTGGCCGTTTATTTATTGTGCTGAATCACGGTTCGTATGTAATTGGATACTTACAGCTGGATTAACCCTAATAATTTTAAATTAAGACGCAATCAACATCAGATCGGACCAGATTATATTATCAAATAAAAAAATCAACAAACATGTGCATTACATTAAATAATCAGAATACTACAATAAAACAATAAAAAGCACTACCAATAAAATCACAAATTTTAGCACATAATGTAATTAATAATTATGAAAAAACATCGTGCAAGACCCTAAAGTATTCAAGTTTGAAGTCATGGTCGAGTCCTCCACACACTACTAAGTCATCCTTTATTGGATATAATATTATTTTATTATTTTTTAAATTTTAAGTATTACACATTTTGGATATAATATTGGAATTTCCCTACTTTATAAGCTACTCCACTTTTTTTCTCTTGAGATGATAATATCGAAAATTCATACAAAATTTAAACCCAATACGGGTATTATGGCTCTGATACCATGTGTAATTTGCCGGAAGCTGACACGCCCGTCGCCCACGCTCAAAGGCCCAAGCCAGCCATCCCTTGTGCGCAACAAGCCTGAGTATACCAAATAATGTGACATAAATAAGGCGGGACACGTACATGCACCGAAACATATGTCAGTTATTAGCCGTATAGAATAGGGGTTCGCACACATGGGATGGACTATGACCGAGAACCTGGGGCAGAAATGTCAATCCTTGACATTCTCCTCTACTCCAAATCGCAAGCGCCCTCGTGCGACGCCACTTGTGTGCACCAACGTTGTTTCTTGCACGCTCGGCATGCCTCCAGACGTCACTCCATTGACCTTTTTGCGCGTACCACTTTTTGTGCTCACCAAGCGCCAACGAGGTTTTCGCATAGCTGACCCACAACTTGCCCACTCCGCCGCTTGTCTCCAACACTATCTGGGACACCCATGTTGCGGCTATTGCATTTTTGCCCGAGAATTGTCCTTAACATGGTTCTACGCTCACGAACAAAGCTTACCCACCTTTGGCGTACCAGCGTGGTCAAGCATACTCCTTCTCAAGGAACACTCCTCCTCTGGAATGTCCAGTCTCGCTTAGATATGCTCTCCATGACGTGCCATCAGCATGCTCCTGCTCGAACAGCTGTTCACCCGTCCGCTTCGTTCTTTACCACTGTCAAGGTCGGCTCTGAATGTCGGAAACTGAATTACCGTCTCACTTAAAAGCTCGAACTGTTAAAGAAACACAGCCAACGGGAGTCCCAACACGCCCCCTCAGGTACAAGTGGGGTTCACGGTTTGATTAGGTTGACTAGGAACACAATAATTTAGACAATATAGATTAATAAGTAATTTATAGTAAATTGTATTTATATTTGTTAAGTATATTTAAAATTGATAAATTTACTAAAACTTAAAATATAAAGAAATTAACTTTTGTTTGACAGACAAAAGATGAAAAATGATCATGTGTTAAGACCGAGGGAGCATATAATATTTATATTATTTTATAGAGAATAAAGTATATTTTATATAATACAAATAAATAAATAAAATACTTATTTATATATTTGTAATAAAAATAAACTAGTTTTTATAAAGAAATAAGAATTTTAAATGTGAATAAAAATATTTATTTATTAAAAAATAAAATTAAAGAGATTTTGAATAATCTTCCGAATAAAATGTTATACATTTAATGAAATTTATTTATATTTATTAAGTATATTAAAATTAATAAATTTATTCAAAAAATATAAATAAGTTTGAAACAGAATAAAAAGAAAAACAAATTTTCTATCGTGACGAATAACGTATTCTCTCCGTCCAGTCTAAGAGTTTCTCATTTACCTTCTGCGTCATTGTACTTGTTGAAAAGTCAAAAATAGTTGGTGGCTCCAAAATCCCACATCGTTTATTGTTTGAGGAGGGGGGCTGAAATTTCCTATAAATTCACCTCCTCTCCATTCATTTCAAATCATCCCGCAACACAATTCTCGTATTCTAATTGTGTTGTATTTTTTATCTTCTCTCATAATATAAGTTTGGTTGGGGTACGAGGACGTAGGCATAATTTTGCCGAACATCGTTAAATTTGGTGTTCTTTATTTTTTTCTGGTGTGTTAGTTATTTTGCGGTTATTTATTGTGCTTTAATTTTGCCAGGGAAATTCTGTCAAAAAGACTATAAAAGGTCTAAGAAAATTGGGTTTTAAGTGAGTCTCGTGTCTCCTCCAATTACCTAGGAATTTTCTTCGGTATTAATTGGGTACGATATTTCGCCGATCGTGTGGGGCTAACCCGTTTACCGCAACAATTGGTATCAGAGCCTTGGTTGCTTAGTATGCTCTGTGGTCGCAGTTGATCTGATCTTCCACATCAGAAAAGCGTCTCGGTTAAACTGCCATTATTGTGTAATTTTTTTTTTTTTGTTAATCAAACTCTGGAGCAGGAATGGCGGAGAAATCGGTGAAAAATCAACTTCAGATTCAACGTCATCATCAAGAAGGATGGTCACGAATGCCAAATTCGACGTCGAAAAATTCGATGGTACCAATAATTTTGGTGTGTGACAATGCGAGGTGTTGGACATGTTGTTCCAACAAGAGCTGGACGGAGCATTCGCAGAGAACAAACCAGAGGATGTTGATGATAAAGACTGGACGAGAATCAACCGTCTGGCGTGTGGTACAATCCGGCTATGTCTCTCAAAGGAGCAGAAGTATCCATTTATGAGAGAGACGATGGCGCACAAATTATGGAACGAATTGGAGGACAAATTCATGAAAAAGAGCACATAAAATAAGCTCTACATAAAGATGAAGTTATATCGCTTCCAGTATTTGTCAGGTACTACCATGAACGAACACATAACTAGATTTGATTTTCTAGTTACTGATTTGCTGAATCTGGATAAGAAGATAAATGATATTGATAAGGCGCTGATACTGCTAGCATCACTTCCTGATGAATATAAAAATATAATTGTTAGTATGCTGACTGGGAAAGAAACAATTTCCTTTAAAGAAGTTACTACTGCTTTGTATTCTAACGAGATCAGGAAAAATGATAAGTTAGAACATAGGAGTTCGACTGGTGAAGCCCACTATACTCGGGGTCATAACAAAAAATACAAGCTGACGAAAAGAGGCAGATCCCAGTCAAGAGACAGTGTAGCAAAAGATGAATGTGTCTTTTGCCATGAGAAAAGACACTGGAAGAAAGACTGTCCAAAGCTACAAAAGAAAAAAGGGAAAGCAGTAGCTGAAGCATGTGTTGCTGATAATGATGAATCAGATTATTCATTAGCCTGTGCCTCATCGGTGACCTGCAGTGATGACTGGTTGCTGGACTCAGGATGTTCATTCCACATGTGTTTCAGGAAGGAGTGGTTTGTCAATTTTGAAAATATTGACGGCGGAGTTGTCTATCTAGCTGACAACCAACCTTGCCAGATAACTGAAGTTGGTTCAGTCTATCTGAAGAACCACGATAGAACAATTAAAGTGCTGACAGAGGTTCAGTACATACCGAAATTCGCCAAAAACCTCATATCAGTGGGAGTCTTGGAATCTAAAGGCCATTCTATCAGCATTCAGAATGAGATTCTTAAAGTGATCTCAGGAGCACTTGTCGTCATGAAAGGTACAAGAAAAAATAACATGTATCACTTTCAGAGCAACATAGTGTTTGGCGTAGCAGCACCAGTATCAGTATTAAATAAAGAGGATGAGATGACCAAGCTCTGGCATATGAGACTTGGGCATGCAGGTGAAAAATCCTTGCAGACTCTGGCAAAGAAAGGATTATTAAAGGGTACAAAGACTTGCAAACTTGATGTTTGCGAGCACTGTGTTCTGGGAAAGAAAACGCGGGTGAAGTTTAGAACAACAATCCATAACACTAAAGTCATTATGGATTACATTCACTCAGACGTGTGGGGACCAACCAAAACAGCTTCTTTGGGAGGAAATCATTATTTTATAACGTTTGTTGATAATTTTTTCAGGAGAATATGGGTATATCCAATGCGAACTAAAGACGAAGCTTTCATAAAATTCCTTGATTAGAAGAGAATGATGGAGAACCAGACCGGGAGGAAGATTAAAGTGCTTCGATCTGACAATAGTACGAAATATCGAAATGACCATTTTTTCGAGATTTGCAAGAAGGAAGGCATCTCCTGACATTTCATAGTACGAGACACGCCACAATAAAATGGGGTGGCCGAACGCATGAACCGAACTTTGCTGGAGAAAGTTCGGTGTATGATGTCCAATGCTAATTTGAGCAAATAATTCTGGGCTGAAGCGGTCACAAATGCAAGTCATTTGATCAATCGACTACCATCAGCTGCAATTAAAGGCAAAACACCTTTGGAGGTACGGTTTGGCAAACCTGAAAATGATTATAATTCTTTACGTGTGTTTGGATCTATTGCATATTATCACGTAAAAGAATCAAAGCTAGATCCAAGGGCGAGAAAAGCTATCTTCATAGGGATATCATCTGGAGTAAAAGGATATCGCTTATGGTGCCCGGAGATGAAAAAGATGATCTTTAGCAGGGATGTTACTTTCAACAAATCAGAGATGTTGAAGAAAGTAACCAAGCAGCAGACAGAGAATACCCCCCAGCAGGTGGAGTATTCTTCCAAGGAGGTGGAGTTCCAGACATCTATGACTAAACTTGTAGATGATCAACCAACTGACGATGATGGTTCTTGTACCGAAGAAGAGCTCGGAGAAAGAGAAGTTTTAACCCAAGAACCTCAACAGCAACAAGATTTACCAATTGCAGTTAAGAGGCCAAAAAGAGAAATTCAGAAACCTGCTCGATTCCAAAGTATGGTGGCCTATGCACTTCCTGTTATTGAAGAAGGTATACCACAAACTTTTCTTGATGCAGTGCATTATTCTGAAAAAGAAAAGTGGAAGAAAGCCATGGACGAGGAAATGCATTCCCTTGAAGCAAATCACACATGGAAGCTAGCTGAGCTACCGAAGGGAAAGAAGACAATTGGTTGCAAGTGGGTCTATACTCAGAAAGAAGGATTTCCCAATTGTAATGACGTCTACTACAAGGCAAGATTGGTAGCCAAAGGCTATGCTTAAAAGGAAGGAATTGATTACAATGAGGTATTTTCTCCTATTGTAAAACATTCCTCTATTCGTATTTTGTTAGCCTTGGTAGCGCAGTACGATTTGGAACTAGTTCAAATGGATGTAAAGACGACATTCTTACACAGTGATTTTGAAGAGGAAATCTACATGACTCAACCGGAAGGATTTAAAGTTGCTGGGAAAGAAGATTGGGTATGCAAGTTGAACAAATCGCTGTATGGATTGAAACAATCTCCAAGACAGTGGTACAGACGATTTGATCAATTCATGACTGGCCAGAAGTACACCAGAAGCAGCTTCGATCATTGCGTGTATTTTCGTAAGCTACATGATGGATCTTTCATTTATCTTCTTTTCTATGTTGATGATATGTTAATTGTTTCGAAAGATAGAAAAGAGATAAGCAGGCTGAAGTCCCAACTCAGCAAAGAGTTCGAAATGAAAGATCTTGGTGAAGCAAAGAAGATTCTTGGCATGGAAATAATGAGAGACAGAAATAGAGGCACATTGTGCTTGAACCAGAAGCAATATTTGAAGAAAGTACTACAGCGATTTGGCATGACTGACAAAACCAAACCTGTGAGTACACCACTTGCTTCTCATTTCAAACTTAGAGCTTCACAGTGTCCAAAAACGAAAGAGGAACGTGATTACATGTCAAAGGTTCCTTATTCAAATGCGGTTGGTAGCTTGATGTATGCGATGGTGTGTACAAGGCCTGACATTTCACATGCTGTTGGAATTGTGAGCAGATATATGCATGATCCAGGCAGAGAATATTGGCAAGCCGTGAAATGGATTCTAAGGTATATCTTGAAAACCTTAGATTTTAGATTGATGTTTCAAAGAAATAATGATACTGGTCAACATATAGTTGGGTACTGCAATTCAGACTATGCAGGAGATTTGGATAAACGACGATCAACTACTGGTTATGTATTTACTCTTGCAAACGCACCAGTTAGTTGGAAGTCGACCTTACAGTCTACCTGCTCTATCAACAATAGAGGCTGAATACATGGTCATCACTGAGGCTGTTAAGGAGGCAATCTGGTTACAAGGATTACTGGATGACTTGGGAGTTTGTCAAAAACATGTTACAGTGTTTTGTGACAGCCAAAGTGTTATTCACTTAGCAAAGAACCAAGTATATCATTCCAGAACAAAACATATTGATGTACGGTACCATTTTGTGCTGGAAATAATTGAAGAATATAGAGTCAGGGTGCAAAAGATTAAGACCACTGAGAATCCTGCAGATATGTTGACAAAAAGTGTAACGTGTATCAAGTTTGAACATTGTTTGAACTTGATAAATGTTCTAAGAGTGTGAAGTTGGCGCTGAAAAGCGCATTTGAAGGCCCTGCCATATTTTTCAGCGCCATTTGAAGGCCCTGCCATATTTTATAACGGGAGAATTTGAAGAAGATACTTTGGATGGAATTTAAAGGTCGCCAAGGCGGAGATTTGTTGAAAAGTCAAAAATAGTTGGTGGCTCCAAAATCCCACATCGTTTATTGTTTGAGGAGGGGGGCTGAAATTTCCTATAAATTCACCTCCTCTCCATTCATTTCAAATCATCTCGCAGCATAATTCCTGTATTCTAATTGTGTTGTATTTCTTATCTTCTCTCATAATATAAGTTTGGTTGGGGTCCGAGGACGTAAGCATAATTTTTCTAAACCTCGTTAAATTTGGTGTTCTTTATTTTGCTCTGGTGTGTTAGTTATTTTGCGGTTATTTATTATGTTTTAATTTTGCCAGGGAGGAAGTTCTATCAAAAAGACTATAAAAGGTCTAAGGAAATTGAATTTTAAGTGAGTCTCGTGTCTCCTCCAATTACCTGGGAATTTTCTTCGGTATTAATTGGGTATGATATTTCGCCGATCGTGTGGGGCTAACCCGTTTACCGCAATAATACTTAATATTAAAAATATCTTTATGTTTGTATAAAATTTTTGTACAAATATCACAATAATAGTATTACAAGACACTGCTATAAGTATTTTTGTCATTTTTCCTTAATTTGTATTACGTTTTTATATAATAATTAATATTCAAATATCAATACGCAAAAAGTAAACGAGATTGTTAGAATCGGACGGATATAATATTCAATATTTAATAATGTAATATTTTTCCGGTCATGGAAACTTCTAATTAAATAAAATAAAAATAGTATTTTTATTAAAAAATAAAATTATTTTTTTATGACAAAACAATAATATAAATTTATATGAAAAAATAAAAAATTATAGTTTATTTTTATTAACTGACTATCTGTTAAATGCAGCATTACATATTTAGACATACTTAGGCGGGGATAATTTTTTAAACCGATAAAAATAAAATAAACATTACAGACAATTTTATATTTCTTAAACTAAAAAAAATCAAACCTCATAGTAAAAGACGATTTTTAAAAATTTGCAAAAAAAACTAAAAATACATAGCCTTAACTTACGAAACTTTTATTACACATATGGTATGATTGAATTTTCAGCTGCACAAGAAGAATTACTTCACAACATCCTCCTCCTTCATTCATGACAGCAAACTTCACACAGCTCCATGAAGATCATCGTCATGTCCGGCCGTTCCGCCGCCGGGAGGATACACTTGAGACCAATCCCAAGTATCGCCTCAATTCCGCCGCCGCCGTCCAAAAGCTGCGGATCGAAGCACTCCGCGGCGCGATTCTCCGCAGCCATTCGGCTAACCCATTCCGACAAATCGACCACCTCCGGGTTCCCGGGAACAATGTCCGCCGAGCTCCTCCCCGTCAGCAGCTCCAGCAGAATAACCCCGAACGCATACACGTCGCTCTTCAACGACGGGCAAGGTTTGCTCGTGCTCGTGAACTCCGGCGGCAGGTACCCGAGGGCACCCGCATTCAGGACCTGCTCCGCCGTTCCCGATGCCGTCAGCAGCCGGTGAAGGCTGTAGTCCGTCAGCAGCACGTTTACGTCGGGGATTTCGATCAGGACATTCGTCGATTTCAGATTGCCATGAGGTATGGCGCTTTCGGTGTGTAGGTAGGTCAGGCAGCCCGCGACGTCCCGCGCGATCTTCACCCGATTCGCCAGCGACAGCGGTGGAAGCGTCCCCGGATCGATTCCTGCGAAAAAAAACACGTATCGATCGATTCGAACATCGAGTAAACTTCGCGACGATTCGGTTCAGGAGATCTTACCGTGAAGATACAGCGCCAAACACGGCGCGTCGATGTACTTCGATATGATCAGCTTCTCGTGCTCCTTCGGCCCCCAGTAGAAGCCCTGAATCGACACCAAGTTTGGGTGTCGAATGTTCCCGAGTTTCTTTGCCTCTCTTGCGAATTCCTTCCGACCTTTCGCGATTCCTTCCTTCAGAAGTTTCACCGCCAATATGTGCCCCGACGATAGCACCGCCTTGTAAAGTGTCCCGTGGCAGCTCATTCCGATGGCTTCCGCAGGGGCGGCAGATAGTTCCTCCGGCGAGAACTTCACGGAGCTGTCGAAGAGATGAAGATCACCGGCCATTTTGTCCGGCGAGCAGACCTTCAGCGCCGTCGCATTTTCAGATTGCTGCCGGAGCTTGCCGGGCGAATTGCTGACAGACGATGCTATCGACATTGGGGATGATACAATATCACTTTTTCTTGCCAATTCTGGATTTCGACAATCTTTGGGGCTCTGTTCAACAAACGATCCATCCCTCGGCGGATTTCCGGACTCAATTCCGGCGAAAGAAACGGCTGCAGGTAAGTAACAACGACAATGATGCATCATTCATTCGATTGACTTAACTCAGAATTAGAACATCTCTTGTTAAAAATCCGATTGCATTTACCTTTCCTTCCTCCGGCTTCTGTCGAAGACTCCTTACAAGGGTCGCGATGAGATCTCCAATAGATCACCAAAGTCAGTACAGCCATAGCCGACACAGCGCTAACCACTCCGGCAATAACGGCAGCTCGGATACCATTTTTCATGCGCGAACCACCGCTGTGACTCCTCCCTAAATTCAGGTTGTCCCCTTCCTTCGGAGAAGATCCATCGCTCGGCAATACGAGCAACAGATTTCCCGGATGGAACGAAGAAGCCGGGAAGCGCTGCAAGCTTTGCGGGACAACGCCAGAGAGATTATTATTCGACACATCGAATGCTGCCAATGTTCCCGGTAGGCCATCGGGGATGCTGCCATCGAGGAGATTGTTCGACACGTCGAGATACAACAAGCTTCGAAACCTTCCAAGCTCGGGTGGCAGTCGACCGGTAAACGCATTCCCCGACAGGTTTAAAGCCACCAGGCTGTAGTTCTGCAAGCCTATCGAATCAGCCGGAATCATCCCGGAAAAGTTATTCATGGACAGGTTAATCTCAATCAGTTTCGTCGAATTGAACAAGCTACGAAGGAGCGAGCCCTGCAACTTGTTAAGGCTAAAATCGATCACTTTTAGCTCCGGATACGCCCCAAGAACATCCGGGAGAACACCCTCAATCGAATTGTTCGAAAGCCTCAACGACGTGAGTCTCAAGAACTGTGAAGTTTGATTCGGAAATGACCCTGAAAGATAGTTGGAACTTAAGTCGATCACTTCAACATAGTTTCCCCAGCTCTGAGCTCTCGAGAAGTTCCCGGAGAACATATTGTGGCTGAGGTCTACAACAGCACAATGCCCTATCCTGATCGGCAATGGACCGGATAGCCTATTCGACGACAGATTCAGATACCTCAAGTTAACAGAATTTATGCTCGATACCGGACCTATAAAGAATCAAATGCCGGAAACTTAGCTCAATTCGGATAAAATGATAATTGAAACTCAACATTACTGCAGATCTTGCGCCGATCCAGCCAAGTCAGTATGGTGCTGATTTGACCGGATCAGCATATGTTATACACATAACCAATATATATTTACACATATTACAACATATGTTGAGTTATAATATAACATATGTTGTAATTCAACATACTGTGTGCTAATGGACAACACACGATATAACCATAGACAGCACATAACATACTCATATATTCTCATGATATATTCTCACACAACACATGCAACAGTTGATTTTACCACATAACATACTCTCATACAACACACTATAATTATGAACAGACAGCACATGTCTTTATTACAAAGAGGCTGTGCTATATGTAATAAAGGGATGTGTTGTCTCGGTATTTTACGTGTGTTAGATTTAGAAAATATAACATATTTTGTATTATAAATATGCTGAAATATGTATAAATATACGTTGATTACTTGTATAGCATATGTTGATCCATGCCCACGCAACATTTATATACATGCAGCATAGACACACTAATTCACACTCAATACCTTCCAGCTGATTCCGGCTAAGGTCTAATTCAGACAAGATCATCGAACTCTCTTGCAAGAGTCCCTGCGGCAACGATCCCGACAGCCAATTGTTGCCGAGCTTGATGATTCTAAGCGAAACTACGAAGCTAAAGGACGGCACATTGCCAGTAAAATGATTGTCACTTGCATCAAACACTTCTAGGCTATCAAAGTAAGGCATTCCATCGTGTTCAAAGAGTGTCCCGGTCAAGTTATTTCGACTAATGTTCAAGTACTTAATCGATGAAATGAAGTCAGGATTGCCAATGCCTAAATCCAACGATCCTGAAAAGCCATTGCAGCTAAGATCGACATAAACTAAAGCTCCTAATTGTGCTAAAAGTCCCATAACATTCCCTACAAAGCCATTAGAATGCAAGTCTAGATGCTGCAACTTTTTCAAATTACCGAAGCCAGAAGGAATCAGGCCATCAAATGCATTGCAGGAAAGATCTAAACTTGCCAAAAATTCAATCGAAAGGATTTCTTTGGCGATCGTGCCGCGTAAATGGTTGTTAGATACAGACAAGTTATTGAGCATTTGGAGCCTGGAAATGGCGAGAAAATTGAATTCACCAGAAAGGCCTAAACTATCGAGTGAGATGGAAGTGACACGGCCCTTATTGCAGGCAATGCCGAACCAGTTCTTAGGACAACCATCAGAAGCTAAGGAATTGGAATCCCATGAATCTAACAAGATTCTGTTGCTGCTGCTGCTGCTGCTATTAGTGTCTATGTGAAATCCACTTTTGAGCTCTAAGAGGGCATCAATGTCTGATTCTGCTAAAGCCAATTCTACAATTAGGAGAAGAACTACAGTGGAGATGAGCTGCATTCTATAATGGATATGGATAATTAATGTTTTAAAAATGGAGAATTGAAAAGACAACTAACTAAATCATGAAAGAATGGGGGACTTGGGATTTCAATAAATTAAAAAGGGCACAAGAATGATGAATCTGACGCACTAAGTAACTCCTCCAAGAACAAGTAAAAGGGCAGTAATTAAAAACCCCACCTTGCAATTCAACTGAAATTTTTTAAGAATTAAAAAATAAGAGCAGAAGGAGAAAGAGAAGGGCTTCTACATTTGTGCAAAAACCCAACACCGGGAAGGTCTGAGGGAGTGAGAAAATGGAGGATTTGGGTTGGGTTAGAGAAGAATCGAGAAAAGCATATTTAGGTGTAGAGTGAGAGTAGAAGAGAAGGGCAGTGGTGATGGCATTGGCATTAAATGTAGTGGTAGAAATGAAAGGGACAAGACTAGAGAGAGAGAGAGAGAGAGAGAGAGAGCAATTGGGAATGGGAACAGGGAGGTTCTCAAGGGAAGGAAGTGGTCAACAGCACTATTGGATGAGAAAAATGGAAACTTTGGTAGGTGGGTTCAGTTATTGACTGATCTAGAGAGAGAAACAGAGAAATTGAGATAGAGAGAGGGGCTTTCTTTGATTTATTACAGTACAGTGAAATGAAATGAAACGCAGTGAGTAGTGCGAAGTTGATCTATCTCTATCTATCTATCCATTACCTGTGATTGAGGGTGCCACTCAGCCTCCCTCTTTATTTCTCTTTCGCTCTAAAACAAACAAGAATGGCGACAAGGGAAGATGGGCTGGCAGTGAACTGTGGGGGAGGATTGAAAGGGCTTTGGATTTGTCGCATATGTAATACTGTAATGTCATACTTATGATATTATTACGATGATAGTGATGCGCTGGAAAGAGGGTTCAATTTTATTATTATATTATACAGTAATTTGTTTTATTTTTTAAGGTTAGGACAATACTAACTAATTCGATTAAGGACAAATATTGAGAGTGAGAGAGAGAGAGATTATTGTTTTTGTTATGATTAATATGTCTGCAGTCTGTATATATAACTCGAGAATGCGATTATAAAATAAGATCTGACGAGAGAGCTAAAGGCAGTGGCAGTACCTAATACCTACCTATTATTCAGGGCTTAGTCCCAATGAATTCTTAGCGTTTTTAAATATTTCTTTCCAAGATAATTGATCTGGAACACAATGTTTAAGGTATTTAAGATAATAGCTAAGGTGTCTCATTTACTGTACACTCAGGAATTGTAAATTTTATAATTAGTAAATAAATAAGAATGTATTAATAAAAATAATTTTAAATTTAAATTAAAATAACTGACTATTTTAATTAAAATTGAAATTTTTTTTTATAAATTTTAAAATTTAAAATAAGATTAAAGTGTATAATATCTTTTTAAAAAAATAAAAAAATAAGTGAAACAAACGAAAATAAAAAAATGGACAAGTAAGTGAGACGGAGGGATTAATACTTAATTGCTTAATAATAATAGTGAATTATTATTTTATTATTGTTTTATATAATTAATAATATTGACCATGTTAAAATGAATTAAATATATATGATTATAAATTTGAATATGTATTTAATATTTTTAAAAATTATATCACAGTAAAAAAAAATATATGCAACATGAGTATCATTTTTAACATAATAAAATTTTATATAATACAAGTAAATAAAAATATATCGTTTATTTATTTATAATTAATATAAACTAATTTTATACGTAAATAAAAATATTTATTTTTTAGGAAAGTTAAATATAAAGAGTTTTTAGTGGGTTCTAACTGATATACAATTTATATGTTATATAATTAATTAAATTAATTTATATTTGTTAAGTATGTTTCGATTTAATAAGTTTTACCCAAAATAAAAAAAAAATGTCAATTGTTATGAGATACTTCCTCCGTCCCATATCTGTCTATCTATTCATTTGTTTTTTGTACGGAATTTTAGAAATATTAGTTTTATATTGAGATGTAGTAGAAATAAAGGTAAAATGACTAAACTAACCTTATTAATATTGTATGATACAAAGGTAATGATATTTGTGTAATATATTATAAATTGGAATGATATTTCTAATGTTGGATAGATAATACAATTACTAAAAAAAAAATTGATACTTTGTTATGGGACGGACCAAAATAAAAAAATAGATAGACTGACAAGGGACGGAGGTAGTATCTAAAAATAAAAATAGTGTCGATTGTTGCGGGACGGAAGAAATACAAATTATATATTTTTTTATTTATTTAAAATTGCATTTATTTAAATATTATTATTGAGCCTAATTTCGGATTCAAGAATTTGACCCAAATTTTGAAATGCTCAGAAAGGGTCCATTAAAGGTTAGGCCAGTGTAAGGACGGCTCGCGATTGATCAGCCCAATTTTCAACCCTAAACATATAGGTTAAATGGCCGAATTGAAAGAATGTTGGACTACGTCAACCGAAACCAAACATATTCAGGTCTCAAAGGGCAAACATGACCCGTCTCAAAAAGGTTGACCAAAAGGTATCCAAATATCAAACAATTTTGACTTATGCCCGTTATAATTATCTATTCAAATACGGTGGGCCACGAAGTCAGAAACCACCAGTAGTTGGTACACGATCAGCTTAACCGAACAATGAGAGTTAAATGGTTGTTTAAAGAAACTGTATATGTGGATCGTCAGTGACAAAGCAAGGAATTTTCAATTATCATCACAATTTTCGGAATAAAATAATTAGTGATCACCACTTTTATTTTCATGCATATTATTAATTATTTATTTTAGTTAATTAAGTTCGATGCTTAGAGGTCCATCATTTTGAATCTAAAAAATAAATTTCGAAATTTACTTTCATTTTGTGTTAAAAATTCCAACTCAACAATTATTTTAATATAATACTCCCTCAGTCTCACCTTAAATGATCTCTTTTTATTTTTAGTAACGTTTATCAAAACAAAATATAATTAACAATAACCAATAAAATTAATTACTTTTTTCTATTATTAATATAAAATATTTTATTTTTAATATATAAATAAACAAACTCACACAAACTCACAATATGATTAAAACAAATAATTAAATCATAAAAATTCTAACAGCTTTGCAATTTTTTTTCTTCTCCAACAAAAGCCCTAGTCGACTTCGCAATTCTTCTTCCTTCCTAACGAAAGCCGTAGTCGACTTCGCCCATGGATTCTAACCCCCCCAATCCGATTTTTGATGGGTCTTGGTCAGTCGTCTCCACCTCACTGCCGAGGATGTCGAATGGAGGAGTAATCAACTTCGATTCCGAGACCACCGGATTGTCTTTTCCATCGGTGGTTTCGACAGTTGAATATAGTAAGATTGTTCCTGAAACTCATTTATCTGATGAATCAGTGGTGACATTGCTTGGTGATGACCTCTCTGGCTATGTGACTGATACCCCACTGGTTTACAAGGTTATCAAAGTCTGGGTAGATTCCGATCTTCATTTTGCCCATAATCGTCATTGGTGTTCAAATGACCTTTAACAATCGTGGGGGAGTTTCAATTGCTCTATTTCCCATCAATTTTCACTATGTGAGGCTAATAATAATTTTTACTGATTTATGCTAACTTTTTTCTATTTGGAGAAATTATGTCTAAATTTATTTTTAATTTTTGCAATTTGATGCTCTTTTAGTTGATTTTGGGATATACAAACTCCATTTCTCACATGAAAATTATATTTATAATACCCCATCCGTCTAGTTAGAAAGTATACATATTTTTATTTTGGGACGTCCAATTATAAAGTAAACATTTTATTAAATACCTTATTTTTTTTCCACAAATACCCTTACTTTACATCACATCACTACTTTCACACAAAAAAGTAAGGACAAAAATATCATTACACTACTTTTAACCACCCACTATAATTAAAATACTATTATTTCTTAAACACCGCGCCAAAAGTAAATATATACATTATAAGTGGACGGAAGGAATATATTGCTTGTATGAGATTTTCTGCTCTTATGAAAATTTATGTCTAATTTTTGTTGATCATGAATTCCTTGTTATATGTTGGTATCTTTTGTTGTATTAGATGAATATGAGGATATGCTACTATGTAATATATATATATATAAAGTTTAAAATTACTATATTCTAATTGAGATGGTAGTAGTTTACACCATTTGAAGTCTGCCTTTATGTCAGAATATAATGTCATTGGTTCCTTTGTGTGACTATAATGAGCTTTAATAAGATCTGAATATTTTTATCAAATATTGCATTACAAAAACAAATTGTGAGTCACATGCATATCCATGTATCATATGTACGGTATGAAATTTACAAAATATTGATACTTTTAAGTTCACAAAAAAGTCATTGTTTACTTACTCAAGAAAGAGTTACCATTGAGAAATGAAAGATGATTGCATTTTGAACATCAAATCTAAGTCCGAACAGCAATAGCATAGCATGGTCTTCTTTTCCTTTGTCCATGAGGTATGCGAGAAAATTAATCACCAAATCCTTGGTCACATTCAGGTGTCTAGGTAAAGTATCCTGCCTAATAAGTGCACCCTTCTTCATGTGTGGAATTTTGTATTTGTTTTTTCTCTACTTTTCATTATTTCAATCATGCACCCTTGTAAGCTCAAAAAAACTTTGTTTAGTTTTTCTACTGTCAATTCTTCAAAAGATAACACCACTGCATTCACTAGCTCATCCACATTAGTCCAATCATTTTCAATTTAAATACTTTGTATAGCCTTAAACCATCCAAGGTCGTTGATATTCAAATCTGGAGAGTTGGGAGGTTGTTGCACTAAAATAATGTCAAATCCATCACTTGTGGCAACTTTTCTGAAATCGGCATTATTATTTTTATGTGTGGTCTAGCGTTATCTTGTTGAATATAGATTCTTTTCACCATGTTGGCCGGCCATTTCTTCTTTATGGTTGGGATAATCTGTCAAAATATTGAAAAATAAATAATAGACACATTCAATATTTCAAAATTAGTGAATGCATATAGTAAAATAGAATAAGTTGGATTGTGTTAGTTTGAATGAACACTAAGTGCAATCTAACGTTTTATAAATTCAAATAGTAGTTTACTTACTTTGTCAATTTAGCAAAATTTAGTAACATCCTTTGTAATTGATTGAATAGGCTTGGTGATTAGGGTGTTTGCTGACAACCATCCGCCCCATATAATGGTCTTGAGCCTGCGCACATAAACATAATCTTGGTAATAAATGTTTTTTTTTTGACATATTATGTGTGGATCTTCCTCTTCCGGAGTCATATAGAATTATGTGAACCTTTAGTGATATAAAACCACTTCTCATCTATGTGTATGACATTATCCATGTATTTAAATTGAATAGCTTCTTCAATTGAAGAATAAACAAGTTGTTCAAGTACAAACTGCAGCCTGAATAACTTGTTTGGTGTTGTCAGATATGATTTAAGAGCACTTGTGTGCTCTCTTAAGGCTCTACT